AACTTTTAGGTTCCCAAAGTTGCCTCTATAACGCAATTCTCAACAGTAATCTAAATCATAATTGTACTAAATTTAGTACTTTTCGTAGCCTCAAGTACTATGGCTACTGGTAATCAATAACACACTGATGGAACTGAACGGGAAAGGTATTAAAGTTGTAGCCTATGCGGACGACGCACTCTGTGTTGACGAAGAGGATACGGAGACAATTGAGAATCTCATGTGTCTCTGTCCAGTCCTGGCCTACAGACTGGTGGGTGCTCATTTTCCACCGTGCTTCTATTCAACTATGTGTGATTTTAACCTACAGCATAATTAGAAATCTAAAGGGGTTATTAAAGTGCAACCTTGACACGTAATATATCTTCTGTCCGATCTCTATAGCCATTGATACTATCTAATACTTCCTTGTAAGCTCCTCATTTCTCTCTATTCCCCTTCTTTTCTCCCCCATAGATCTCATCATATCTTTTTCTTTTGGTGGATGATCACAATGGACCTGACGGTTTCAAAGTGCTGCAGCCACATAAGTGACTGCACATCTCCAAACCTAACTTAACCTAGAAGCATCTATACTAAAATCAAACAATAGTGGTATGTTAATTTGACATATTGCACATTTATTTGTTCTGCATGACAGAACCATTTTTAATTGTAAATATCCTTATTAATTACTGTTGAAAATATGTAATGAAAACTACTTGTTAAAGAATATTGAATTGAATTGTTTTTTATATTAATAATATTTTCTTTTAACATAGTAGGCTTTACTTCAATATAGACAATGAACATTTCTAGCAATAAAATATTTTTCTTCATTCTCTTGTAAACCTTTGTAAAATAAACATTATTTGAATTTAAATATTAATTGTGGTGTTTCTTCTGCGTTTTGCTCTGACAAAGGTTATGGGCCTTTGCACATAAAGAAAAAATAGAAAATTTTACAAAATGGCGTCCTCGTTCAATATTGAAAAACTGGAAGAAGAGAATTACGATGGATGGAGGATTCATATGAGGAGCCTTCTGATACATTTGGATCTGTGGGGTTATGTTTCCGGAGATGTTGTGAAACCTAAAGATGAAGAGGGCCAATATGAATGGAATAAAAAAGATCAAAAAGCTCTCTCTTCAATATTTCTGTGCATAAAGAGTGACCAATTATGTACAATCAAAAATTGTGGTACATCTCGGGAAGCATGGATTCAACTCGAAGAAAAATTTCAACCTCGAGGACCATCGACAAAGGTGATGCTGTTCAGAAGATTGTTATCTACAAAAATGAATTTAGGACAATCAATGAATGAACATTTAAAAACGTTTAACGAAACAACAAGTAAGCTGCGTGAAACAGATGTCAATATTCCCGATGAAATTCTGGTCATAATAATGTTGAGCAGTTTGCCAGAAGAATATGAAAGTTTCGTGGTTGCCATGGAATCTAGGGACTCTTTACCTTCTTTGTCAATCCTGAATAACAAACTACTTGAAGAATTTGAAAGAAGAAATTCCAGAAACAGACTGGAAGAGAGTCACGAAGTGTTTCTGAGCAGAAATATACAAAATAAACTGAAAATCAAGGAAGATGATAGGAATGCGAAGAGAATAAAATGCTTTAATTGCGGAAAAGTGGGTCATATAGCAAGGGACTGTTGGAGTAAGAAGTCTGGGGCGAATGCTATGTTGAATGGATTAAATTCATATAATTTTTCAAGTGAATCCTGGGTTTTCGATAGTGGAGCAACGTGTCATATGTGTTGTGTCCGGAAAAATGAAGTTATGTTTCGAACTCATAAAGAGCGTATTGAATTGGCCGGAGGTTATTACATATTCTCAGAGGGAATATGCAATATAAGATTGGTGACAAATACCGGAAAAACAATTGAACTTAAGGATGTGCTCTACGTACCAAAATTAAAATATAATTTTATAAGTGTTGCTAAGTTGGCTGAAGAAAAGCAGATTACAAGTTTTGATGATAAATCGGCACAAGTTAGAGACATCAATGAAAGTGTCATTTTGACTGGACAAAGAATTGGCAATTTGTATGTCTGTGAAACAAACGCAAATATGGTACACGGTATGTATTCGGAACCTAGTTTCATGAAGTGGCACAAACGTTGGGGTCATTTAAATGTTCGGGATGTTACTGATTTATCAAAAAAGGGGATGGTTTATGGAATGAATATGGTGAAATTACCAAATAATTTTGAATGTAAGGCTTGTTTAAAGGCAAAAATTTGTGTTCAACCATTCCCAAAGGAGGCAACGTTTAGAGCTAAAGAACCTCTAGAATTGGTTCATACGGATGTTTGCGGTCCAATGAGAGTAACATCGGCGGGGGGATCTAGATATTTTGTTCTGTTTATTGACGATTACTCTCGAATGATGTTTGTCTATTTCTTAAAGAACAAAGGTGATGTATATAAAGCTTTTACAAAATTTATTGCAATGGCAGAAAGGCAGACATCAAAAAAATTAAAAACAATCCGTAGTGATAATGGCAAAGAATATCTTAGTTCCGAATTTACCTTTAATCTAGAGAACCTTGGAATTAAAAGACAATTTACGGTTGAATATACTCCACAGCAGAATGGTGTGGCGGAAAGAGCCAACCGCACAGTAGTGGAAATGGCCCGATGTATGCTAATTGATTCAAATCTAAATGAAAATTTGTGGGGTGAGGCCGTGGATACTGCTGTATATTTAAGGAATAGATGTCCTACAAAATCTCTATGTGACAAAACACCAGTTGAAATGTGGAGTGGAATAAAGCCTACAGTATCACATTTAAAGATTTTCGGATGCAGAGCTATTATGCTGAATAAAAGACCAGGAAAATCAAAGTTTGCCTCGAAAGGTATTGATTGCATTATGACAGGTTATTCAGCTGAATCGAAAGCATATCGGTTGTTGGACATTAAAACAGGGAAATTGTACAAAAGCCGGGATGTCAAGTTCTTAGAAGAGTCGGTTGAAAATAACAGCGAGTACGACTTTTTCCCTGAAGTCTTCATGAGAGAAAATAGTTGTATAGGAATACCAACAATAGAAATAGAAGAGCCTAATCATCAAACTGTTTCGGTACCAAATTTCGAAAATTCTGAGAACGAACAATTTAATTCCGGAAATGAAGATGAAGTGACAGATGAAAATGAACAAGCCGATGCTTGTAACTACAGAGTTCTAAGATCAGGAAAAAGGATATTTTTAAATAACGCCCAAATTACGCAAAATACTAATATATGTCCAAAAGACTTTAAGGAAGCGATGTCGGTACCAGAAAACAATATGTGGATGAATGCAATGCAAAATGAATTTGGATCGTTAATGTCGAATGATACGTGGGAGTTAGTAAACAGACCTAAAGACGTGCCCGTGCTTAAGAATAAATGGGTTTTCAACATTAAGAAAGATAAGGACGGCAATTTAGACCGATATAAAGCAAGACTCGTGGCAAAAGGCTGTGGTCAAATATATGGTATAAATTATACTGAAACGTTTTCGCCAGTAACGAGGTACGCTACCGTAAGAACTGTATTGGCATTAGCAGTAGAATACAAATTATTCGTTCATCAAATGGATGTCACGACAGCATATCTAAATGGTACACTAGATGAAGATATTTTTATGGAACAGCCGCAGGGATTTGAAGATGCGGAAAATCCTGATAAGGTTTGTAAACTTAAGAAATCGATATATGGCTTAAAGCAGTCTGGCCGTATGTGGAACGAAAAACTTGATGCAGCATTGAAAAAAATTGGATTTATCCGTTGTACAGTCGAAAGATGTACATACGTATTAAATAAGGAAGACGAATATAATATAATAGTGGTATATGTAGACGATATAATGCTGGTATGTTCCAATATGACAACAATGGATTCTATTAAATCTGCTCTGAAGGCTGAATTTGAAATAATTGACAAGGGACCAGTTAATTATTTCTTGGGGATGGAGATAGAAAGAAATGAATCAACTGGAAGTATACGATTATCACAGAAGAAAATAATTAAAGAGTTATTGGCGGCACAGAATATGGAAAATACCAGAAAATGTAACACTCCTTTAGATCCTGGATCAAAATATAAAAATTGTCAAGACTGTTCCAATTGCAGCAAAGTGGATGAAACCAAATATCAATCGCTTATAGGTTCATTGATGTATATAGCAATTTGCTCCCGTCCAGATATTCTTCACGCTGTAAATAGGCTATCACAATTTAATAAAAATCCGCATTTGGAACATCTCAAAGGAGCAAAGCACATTCTTCGTTACTTGGCCAATACTGTTGACTACGAAATTGTTTATAAATACAACGCAAGATTGTTACATGGTTTTGCAGACGCTGATTGGGCAAGTAGTTCAGACGATAGGAGATCATATACGGGATACACATATATTTTAGCTGGCGCAGCAATATCATACGAATCGAAAAAACAACAGACAGTCGCATTGAGCAGTACAGAAGCAGAATACATGGCTATATCTGCGGCATCAAAGGAAGCAATATATCTGAGAAACTTGCTAATAGAAATGGGGTTTGCTGATATTTTAGGTAATGAAACAGAAATCTATGGAGACAATCTTAGTGCTCAGCAGTTGGTGCGAAATCCGGTATATCATGCAAGAAGTAAACACATTGATACACGTATTCATCATGTTCGAGAATTATATGAAAAGGGTCTAATAAAATTGACATTCACCCCTTCTACCGAAAATGTGGCCGATATATTAACAAAGTGCTTAAAGCCATTTCCCCATAAAAAATTTACAAATATGCTTGGCGTTGAAGAGTTTTCATTAAGGGCAGGTGTTGAAAATATGTAATGAAAACTACTTGTTAAAGAATATTGAATTGAATTGTTTTTTATATTAATAATATTTTCTTTTAACATAGTAGGCTTTACTTCAATATAGACAATGAACATTTCTAGCAATAAAATATTTTTCTTCATTCTCTTGTAAACCTTTGTAAAATAAACATTATTTGAATTTAAATATTAATTGTGGTGTTTCTTCTGCGTTTTGCTCTGACAATTACTTACAATCCTATCAATTAAATCATTTCTTCTTTGTAAACCCTGAACATTTTGTTCACTACCCACTGTCGTAATATTAATATTCGTATCGGTGGCCCAATTAAATTTAACAACTTCACGTTTTCGTTCAACATAATCATCTTCAATGGCTACGCTGAGATTGTGTAGAGCACACACCGTTTCTAAAATTTTACGAACTTCTGCCAAATCGCGAGCCTCCAAAGCATATAAGGCATTAAAGCGTTTCGCCATTATATCCAAAGTATCTTGTCCCAAACGCAATGCTGGCTCCAAAAGACGATTAAATTCATGTTCCTTGCGGAAACAAGGATTTGTAATGGGTTTCATAAGATACGGTTTCAAAGGGAAACTTTTGTTGCCAATTAAGTAGCATCCCTTTGGCATTGTATTTTCATTCAGCGCCAATATTTGTCCCATTGGGGTTTCATCAAAACTATATTCCTGTTCCAATTCCACAAAACAATCGATAACTTTTTGATCAACATTACAAACGATTTGCAGGATAATAGATATTTCAGCATCTTCCGAGGCGAGAAATATATCCAAACGTTTGAGGGCTAAAATACCAAAAAGATTGGGGAATATTTTCAATTGTGGATGTTTTTGAAAGCCTTGCAGTTGCAGCTGTTGAAACAAGTGGGAATTTGGCCATTTGATATACGATTCATATTTATCTGAGATTATGTGCCAAAATTGGCTAACGATTAGCTCACAGTCCGGCTGTGGAATATGAAAACGCCGTGATATTTCTTCGAAATGTTCATCGGTTGTCAGCTTCCAAAGAGCCAAAGAAAATACGGTTTGGGCTGGCACTCCTGCAGGAAATGTTGACTGCTGCAGTAAATGTTTGATGAATTGAAATGTTTTCTGCAAAAATGGGAAAATAATTATTTTCGATGTGTTAGCTTTCAAAAATCTTACCAGGAAACTCATTTTACTCATATGCAGAAATCCCTCAAACTCAACATTCTCAAATCGATTAAGTAAATTTAATTCCTTTGACCTTTTGCTGGTCCTAACCTCCGATTCTGCCGGCTTTACACCCTCCTTTCTTTGTCGTGGATCATAGAATTTATTTGACTTTCTGGTACCTCCCGTCAATCTAGTTCTCAAGATGTGTCCCCTAGTATTTGCATTTTCGGTTTTATTGTCTTCTTCCTTTGTTTTTGTTGTGGGTTTTGTGAAAAATTGTTGCCTTACAAAAAACTCCTCATCTTCGTCATCCATTGGTGCCAATAATGGAAATCGCATCTTATCTTCCTCATTAATATTTTGATTATCGTGCCAAAGAAAATGTTTGGGTTTCTTTTGACTATTAGCCTCATCTACCAGAATATCTTTGGTAATAATCATGGTTATATTCGTCAATAATGCACTCTCCTCCATGGTGTCTCCAAATCCACGACAAATCAATGTATTCTGCGGAAACAACCCCCCAGTGAGGAACAGTGAAAATCTTAAGGATACATTTAGTGTTGGCAATGCCATTTGTAAACAAAAATTTGCAATAATTCACAATAGTCATCCCTTCGAACAGTGGTACGTATAACAGATTGGATAAATAGAAATATTAAATAAAGAAAATCGAAATATTGAATAAAGATGTCAATGGCCGAACACTGTACTTCCAAACTACTGCTGTGGATGTGTAATAATTGGTATGTTCCCGTACTGCAAGAATCTACTAGTTTTTACTATTTTATTCGATATCATAAAGGAAAAAGTGTTATCGTAGTAAAAATTAGTAGATTCTTGCAATACGAAATAATGGAAATAAATAAAAGGCTCTCTATTTATTTCCATTTGGGTGTGCAATGTTTGGACCAAGTCGATAAATAATTAATCCGCTCCATATGAGTTTTACAAGTTCTCTAATATTCGCCGTTTTAGTGGGAGGTACGTTGGACTCACTTCATTTAAGCAACATTGTGTAAATGTATACCACTGTGACTTCCATCCCCTATGTTTTGTTTACAAACAATTAATTCACAATAGACATTCACTTAAGACGTTTTCCAACACTAAATAACAGCTGTGCTGTCGATTCCGTTTATCGGTTCATTTGTGTTTATCGATTCACACGTGCAAGTCTCAAGCGGCAACAACTGAAGTAAATAATTAAATAAAATAAAGAAAAACTTAATAAAAATTACCAAATTAAAATGGATGCCCATGATTTATTTCATCAATTAACGAGAGGAGTGAGATTTACCAAAAAACGGAATGAATCAAAAGCGCAGGTAAGTCCAACAACTGCAAAAATACCAAGACCACATTCATTGACAATTTTTCCTCGTCCAATTTTCCACAGAATGTTCCATCAAAGTTACCCAAATTTGAAGAAGAATTGAAAATAAAAGATGAAGGTATTGCCACCGAGGAAGATGATGATGAGTTTATGGATGGTGATGAAGAAGCCTTGGAGAATTCCAACAGTGAAGCAGAAGTGAATGATGATGACGATGAAGAAGAACCACAGGCTTTCGAATTCATATCTGGTGTGGCAAGTGCACCGAAGAAATCGAAAAAGAAAAATAAAACAGCCCTCACAGAGGAAGAGAAACAAAAGCAGCTGGAAGAGGAGATGATAGCAACAATACGTAAAGAAAATCGTATTAATGTGTTGGGTAAAAATATTCCACCACCCATTACATCGTTCCAAGAGCTCCACACCACATACAAAATGAATGAAAGATTGGTGGAGAATTTAGTTAATTGTAATTATGCTCAACCCACAGCTATTCAGATGCAAGCAATACCCATAATGTTACAGGGTCGTCCGCTGATGGCATGTGCTCCCACAGGTTCGGGTAAAACCATTGCCTTTTTAGCTCCGATTATAAATGATTTAAAGGCCCCCAAGAAAGTTGGTTTTCGGGCAATTATTCTAGCGCCCACTCGAGAATTGGCCCAACAAATCTATCGTGAATGTGTGCGGGTGTGTGAAAAGACAGCATTGAAAATACACATTATAAGCAAAGTTAATCAAGCTAAGCAGAAATTGGGTGAAGGCACTTCCAAGAAATATGACATTCTCATTTCCACACCAAATCGTGTAAGATATTTGCTGCAACAAGAGCCGCCACTATTGGATTTGAAATCCATCGAATGGTTTATTTTGGATGAAGCTGATCGTCTTATGGAAGAGGGACAAAATAATTTCAAAGAACAATTGGATGATATTCTGGCCGCCTGCACCAACCCCAAAAAGAAATTGGCATTATTCAGTGCAACATATACTGTGCCGGTTGCCAAATGGGCATTAAAGAATTTGAAAAATCTTGCTCGTGTTACGGTTGGTGCACAAAATTCTGCCACAGAAACAGTTGAACAGGAGTTGCTCTTTGTTGGTTCTGAAAGTGGTAAACTTTTGGCTATGCGTGATTTAGTCAGAACTGGCCTGAAGCCACCTGTATTAGTTTTTGTACAAAGTAAAGATCGTGCCAAGCAATTGTTTGAAGAGCTTCTCTATGATGGCATCAATGTTGATGTTATTCATGCCGATCGTACCCAGCAACAACGTGATAATTGTGTTCGAGCATTCCGTGAGGGTCATATTTGGGTATTAATTTGTACGGAACTTATGGGTCGTGGTATTGATTTTAAAGGAGTCAATTTGGTTATCAACTATGATTTTCCACCATCGACCATTTCGTATATTCATCGTATTGGTCGTACAGGTCGTGCTGGACGGCCGGGTAAAGCTATAACATTCTTTACGCAGGACGATACACCTACATTGAGAAGGTAAGTGAAAACTCGGCATATTAAAGGGTATCAGATCATTAAAGGAGTAGATTTTTTGAAGAATATTTTTTAAAGACCATCCTAGTCGTGGTATTTTAAAGAATAGTTTTTCAGAGACCATCCTAGGCGTGGATTTTTTAAAGAATAGTTTTTCAAAGACCATCCTAGGCGTGGATTTTTTAGAGAATAGCGTGGAGTTTTTACAGCATTTTTTAAAGAATATTTTTTCAAAGACCATCCTAGGCGTGGATTTTTTAAAGAATATTTTTTCAAAGACCATCCTAGGCGTGGAGTTTTTAAAGAATATTTTTTCAAAGACCATCCTAGGCGTGGATTTTTTAAAGAATATTTTTTCAAAGACCATCCTAGGCGTGGAGTTTTTAAAGAATTTTTTAAAGAATATTTTTTCAAAGACCATCCTAGGCGTGGATTTTTTAAAGAATATTTTTTCAAAGACCATCCTAGGCGTGGATTTTTTAAAGAATAGTTTTTCAAAGACCATCCTAGGCGTGGATTTTTTTAAAGATTGGCTTTTCAAAGACCATCCTCGGCGTGGATTTTTTAAAGAATAGTTTTTCAGAGACCATCCTCGGCGTGGATTTTTTAAAGAATAGTTTTTCAGAGACCATCCTCGGCGTGGATTTTTTAAGGAATATTTTTTCAAGGATCATTGGATTTTTTAAAGGATAGTTTTTCAGAGACCATCCTCGGCGTGGATTTTTTAAAGAATAGTTTTTCAGAGACCATCCTAGGCGTAGATTTTTTAAAGAATATTTTCTCAAGGATCATTGGATTTTTTAAAGAATATTTTCTCAAGGATCATTGGATTTTTTAAAGAATATTTTTTCAAGGATCATTGGATTTTTTCACTGACCATTACAGGACTATATTTTTGAGAAAATATTTTTTCAAGGATCATTGGATTTTTTCACTGACCATTACAGGACTAGATTTTTAAGAAAACATTTTTTCACGGACAGTACAGTATTGGATTTAAAAAATATATATATATTATTTATTTTCTTTTTCCAGTATTGCTGAAATCATCCGTAATTCTGGCGGTAAAGTTCCTGAGTTTATGCTGAACATGAAGAAACCCAAAAAATCGGATAAGAAGAGATTAGCCAATTTTGCTCCCAAACGAGAGGATATTTCAACAAAAATTAAACCCGAACAAGAGAGACAAGAAAAACTAACAAAAGTTGAAAAGGCATTGCAAAAGAAACAAAAATCTCCAAATGTTGATGCAGATACGAAAAATCGTAATAATCAAAAATTAAAGAAAATACAAAAACTAAAAAATTCCAAAACTGAATTTCAAAACAACAATAAAGGAAATAAACATAAAAATCAACCTCAAAGAAAAGTGGGGAAAAATCAAAAATCTAAAAACAACAACAAGTAAAACTACCATTAGATTAAAATAATAAAAAATCATTTTTATTCATATACATATAGCCTAAGATAATAATAATGATATAACAAATGTTGTATATTTAATGTTATTATTTTTATAAAATAAAAAAAAATCTTTTATAATTTTAATTGCACTTGTCTTGATATGAAGATTTCTTTAAAAAAATACAGGATATACATAAATATGTATCTAAAAAATATATAGGCACTTTGTTTTCATTTCATTGTTTTTTGTTTGTTTTCACTTAGTTTAATATTTAAAGCTTATTACATTCTAAACAATAATACATAGATAGTTATCTTAACGTGTTATTAACAATAATTTCTAATTATGACTCACAAAGCCAATCACACGGTAATTTTGGCATTTTACTTGCTGGCCATGGCAAATATCCAGCTGTTTTGAACACCCAATAATCATAGGAAACTTTTGTAATCAACGCCACCAATAGTATAACTTCTGTGGCAATTAAATAATAAACATAATCAGTCCAATCGTGTGGCGATTGACACACTTTTAATTCCTGTAATTCCATAATGCGTTGTGGCATATTACGGCATAAGATTTCATTGTAATCGGGTATATCACGACTTCGTTTCAATAGCCAGAGCTGTAAGAAATATGGATGATTATTTTTTAAACGAAATTTTTTGTTGGGAATGATTTTGTAATTACCTTCAGAACTTTGGCAGAATTACAATCACACATTAATTTATTGCCACCCAAAAATATAACACGTCCCACATTGCTGTCCAATACATTTGTTAGCAGATATTCTGGAAGCTGTAATAAAATAACATTAGCATTAATATTTTTTTCATTTGTTGTACTTTTTAAAGAATATTTTAACGACAATTGGATTTTTTAAAGAATATTTTTTAAAGAATACCATCCAAGGCGTGGATTTATTAAAAATATTTTTTCAAGGACCATCCAAGGCGTGGATTTGTTAAAGAATATTTTTTCAAGGACCATCCAAGGCGTGTATTTATTAAAGATTTTTTTTTTCAAGGACCATCCAAGGCGTGTATTTATTAAAGATTTTTTTTTTTTAAAAGGAACATCCAAAGCGTGGATTTATTAAAGAATATTTTTTCAAGGACCATCCAAGGCGTGGATTTTTTAAAGAATATTTTTTCAAGGAACATCCAAGGCGTGGATTTATTAAAAAATTTTTTTTCAAGGAACACCCAAGGCGTGGATTTATTAAAGAATTTTTTTTCAAGGACCATCCAAGGCGTGTATTTATTAAAGATTTTTTTTTTAAAAGGAACATCCAAAGCGTGGATTTATTAAAGAATATTTTTTCAAGGACCATCCAAGGCGTGTATTTATTAACGAATATTTTTTCAAGGAACATCCAAGGCGTGGATTTATTAAAGAATATTTTTTCAAGGAACATCCAAGGCGTGGATTTATTAAAGAATATTTTTTCAAGGAACATCCAAGGCGTGGATTTATTAAAGAATATTTTTTCAAGGAACATCCAAGGCGTGGATTTATTAAAGAATATTTTTTCAAGGAACATCCAAGGCGTGGATTTATTAAAGAATATTTTTTCAAGGAACATCCAAGGCGTGGATTTATTAAAGAATATTTTTTCAAGGAACATCCAAGGCGTGGATTTTTTAAATAATATTTTTTCAAGGAACATCCAAGGCGTGGATTTATTAAAGAATATTTTTTCAAGGAACATCCAAGGCGTGGATTTATTAAAGAATATTTTTTCAAGGAACATCCAAGGCGTGGATTTATTAAAGAATATTTTTTCAAGGAACATCCAAGGCGTGGATTTATTAAAGAATATTTTTTCAAGGAACATTCAAGGCGTGGATTTATTAAAGAATATTTTTTCAAGGAACATCCAAGGCGTGGTGGTATGTACTTACCCTTTTTAGTTGATTATTTCGTAGATATAATTTTTGAAAGTGATCCATAAATTGTGTACCCTCCAAGTCGTGCATGGACTCAATGCGATTATTATCGGCAAATAACTTCACAATACTTTGATAGGTGGGATTATTGTGGAAATGATCGCCAATGACGGTAATCTATAGAAAAACAAAAAATGAGACCCATAATTCGGATAAACAAAAACATTATTAACCGATGTACTTACATTATTATTGGTAATATTCAATTGAAATGTGTTCTCTGGCAATTTTGGTGGCAATTCGGTTAAACCCAAATTCGAGCAGTCTACACGGCAAAAGATTTTATTTTTGGAGGGATCGCCCTAGGAAAAAAGAAAAATCGATTGAGAATTTAAACCAAGTAATAACGATTTTGAATACATACTGCTGATAACATATGCTCTGGATTACAGGTGCAATTACCCTTGCCCGGTATAACAGGGCAATCTGTATAAAACCGTCTGATAATATCCAATTGACTAATGGCAATATAATCCGTTGAATTGAACCAATTAAATGCCGAATCCAAAAGGCAATAGGTGCTATTCGGTGAAACAAATTTAAAGGAACCACGAAATATGGTTGCCATCAAGTTATTGCACAGCATGCGTTTATTTTGTCTAAAATGGAAAAATAAATACAATAAAGTAGAATTATTTTATTTTTAAATTTTATGGATCACTAGATTCATGGATTATGGATCAATAAGAGTTAGGGGTTCAACTTCGTTTTATTTTTTAAAATTTTATATCTCAGTTAAAGGCCTCTGAATATGGGGGAAATATGGACTTCCCCAAAAATAATCAAAAGGGACGAGAACTATCTGTGGTAAAAATTTCACACAGATTCGAAATGAGCCCCTAAGCTCAATAAAGGTCGATATTAATATTCACTCACCTTATATCCAGTGTAATATTATGATTTGGTGTTATTTGCGGTATCTCCGTTAAATTATTATTAGAAAGATTTAAGAACTTCAGCAACACGGATGCCTTCATGGTTACATTCGACAAATTATTATTGGATAAATTCAAACATTTTACCTTGGACATACGTGAAAATTTCTTCGTGGTTTTCGTTATATTACCATCTGTTATGGCCAATGATTGCAACGTTTGAAATATGGGTGATGATAAATCAATTTCCGGCATTGTCATATTGTATATATGCAGATTTGTCCAATTACTATAGTTCGGACAGGATGAGATCATTGTCAAATGGGTGATGTTACAGCAATACCAATTATTTTGCGATACATTATTTGAATTGGGATATTGACGACACATACATGTATTCGCTGTTACGGCATGTCGTGTCGGCTGATCTGTATGATTGTTGTTGTTGAAAAAATTAAGGCACATATTTTCTTCCATGGTAAAACAAAAATCAGGTATTGTATCCACATTGTTAACCGTATTTGTGGGATTGGCAATTTCTGTTGTTGTTGCGAGGGTATTGCTGCCATCGATGGCATTCATATTTGGCAAAGGAACTTCTTGTTGTCCACCGGCATAGTTTTCCTCTTCCATTCTTCGACCACTTGTCATTGCCAGGCCATATAGGAGGAAGGCGGCCAGTAATAGCAGCCGCTGCAGTTTATCACAGTGCTATGAAAAGAAGACAAAAAAGGGTTTGTTGTTTTTAGTTCACGTAGCCGCCAATGTAAACAAAATTGATTACAGTTGTTCTTGTCTTATAATTGTTGTTTAGATAAATATTGGTGTAGTGTTATGTTTACATAGGGAAAGTATGAGGGTGATATGGAAATTTTCGTAATGGGGGAAATGGAATTAAAAACGTTATAGTAATTGGATTTAATTTTATTTATGGAAAACCGCTAAGAACGATACGAACTATTTCAGAGGTTTTAGTTCGTACTGAAGGTATCACGGACTATCACGGAATCGAATCCATTCATTAATTTTCATTTTTTGTCCAAAATCCTATTAGTCATGATTTAGATTAGGCGAGTTTAGTTGCGGCAATTCTTATCGTTCTCTTGCAAACAACGACTTGCCGCAACTCGGGGTTTACACATGCAACTTTTGTAAGCAACTCTGCTGACTTCTTAGAAGAGATAGGTATAATAAGTGACAAGGGGGAGGAAAATCAAAAGAGAATAGAAGAAAGCAGCTGCAGAGTTGTTTAAAAAGTTTGATTTTCAAACCCAGACCGAGGAAACTCGCCTAATTTAAAATGGGACTTAGTTTTAAGGTCCAGGGTATAAAATATGACAGTCTAATAAAAATTTAAGAACGTACATATGTCATGTCCATTGAATATAATAAAAATTAAGATAAAGAAACATGCAGAAAAAATAGTCGTAGACAGTCGACGGCAATAGTACTTTTCAATCTTTAAACGCGTTTTTCTCGACACAAAAACTAATAATAGAATCCGTTCCAAATTTGAACACGTTATTCTGTATGTCATACATAGGAAAAATGTAATCGGACAAGATCTTCCTTATTTTTTGGAAATAGGGAATATTCCAAAAATTTAATTTGATAGGTCCGCTATTTGTTAATTTTTGTGCGATGTTAATAATCCTAGGGTTCCAGCCTTAAGTCTTCAATATAATGTACTTCGATTTGCCTTCCGGTTGAAAATTGTTCACGCTCTATACGATGCTAATACTACTTGTGCTGTTGTATGGATCTGAAGCATAAATTTGTGGTCATGGGAATGTAAAAGCTGACGAGCTCGCTCAACGAGGTCACAGTCGACCAATTGAGGAATTTGTCGGCTACTTCACCCTAACACCCTAACGCTACGGTGTCAAGCGACCTCGTGCCCATTATCCTAACTGTATTAGAACGGAGACTTATTGATGCCTGTGCACCTCTACAAGTTTGTTCAGGCTTACAATGGTAAGAGGCAATGCCATGACCGACCTCAAATCCTCACTAAAATTTTTTTCTAAGGAGCCGAATTTTAACATCCCCATTATTTAAAAAAAAAGTTCAAAACAATGTCTTCGATTGATGCTGTTGTGGTTGCCTTGGCACCCTCAGTCTCGAAATCTACAAGGTCAGATTTCAATCGACCCCCACAAATGTTGACAACCCACGCTATTCCACTGGACCACCCTTTTGCATCAACCTCCGTTACTCTCGACAACGTAAACGAAAGCCTGGAGAGGCTGACGGATTTTCTCTTCAACCTTATATAGTTAACCGGCTCCTCCGCCTTAGTCATGAGAGCATACCGAATAAACATCCTTGACAGACGGGGAAGACGTCATGGAAACTACTGTGATTAGCATTACAGTGACAAATACAGTAGCTATCCTGGTGACTTCTTTAAATCAAGCTGAGTCCTCTCTGATGATGAGTAGACACGTAAACTCTGGCGAGGAAGAGGATCCTAATTCCAACTCCACGGTCTGTAGTGAAGACTGGAGACTTCATAGGCAGTTAGCCGCCGAAGTGGAGACTGGGGCTGATGAGCTTCCCATCGTAAAGATGGATGAATCATCAGAACCGGGAACCACTAAAAAAGTCAATACCAAAGCGATGTCTGACAAGAAGATTTTCCGGAGAGCGGGTTACAACTGCAACCGGTTTATCGGACGGGACAAAGACTCGATAACGGATAAGGAGTTCCTTCTAATTAAGAGGAACTTCAAATTCATTCGGATATTAAGCAGGAACTATCCGAATGATATTGCGAGGGACTTCTTCATTGATAGGATTCCAACATTACGTGCGAATTCCACCACGGTAGCCCCTCCAAAAGAGGAGAAGACTGTGAGTGGCCCGAGCGAGTGACTGGTACGTGTGAGTCTTCAGTACGCCCGAGGGAAAATTGAGCGCTGGGAAACCCCTGACATCATCAACCACGAAAACTGAGCGTAAGGGAATGTCGAAGTCAGCCCGAAGGAGAGCCCGTAAAAACACCTTCAGGAAAGCTGATTAGGCACAACCTCCCTCTGCAAAACCACTCTCTGCCGAAATGTCGAAACCGAAATCCAAGGTTATGACAATTGGGCAGTAATTGTTGGGCTCGTGTCAGCTAGGTCAACCTCTACGGCAGTTGCCACTCCGGAAGCCAAATCTCGAACACAGTCCACGACTTTGAAGAGAATGAGGTCCTCGGACAAGCAACAACCTGCTGCTAAGAGCCCCACGCAGTCGTTGGATGCACGAAATGCTGTTACGTACGCGTCGGTAGTGTCGATGGAGAATCCTGCAAAGAGTGGTAAGGGTGTGGTGAAAGCCAAACCCACCGTCTCGAAGCAGGAAGCCCAGAAACATATAAATATAGGTCCGCCTCTGATGACTCTAGTGACTACAGCAGTGACTATATTTTAGCATTACGAAGTGACCGGAATGCCTATAGTTTAAAACAGAACTAGTTTACAACAAAATAATAGATCTAAATTTCAAAATAATAGCTTTATTAAATTTGAATTTAAGTTAAAAAAAAACTTCTCCTGTAAAATTTCAAATTTGAGGGTTAAGTTTTTTTGCGAATATGGCTCGATATATTGACCACTGTATTTGCTTAATGTTCCATTTTCGAGGCTTTTTTCCACATCTACAAAAACCACCCTCGTAACTGCCTAAATACCATTGTGAATTTTAGGACCATATCAATTATCTACTGGGTCTAACTAAGGTGTGTTTCAAATTTGATTATAAAACCACACCTTTTAGTATTTCGTCGTCTTACGACGAGACAAAAACCAATTTCTTTATTTTCCTGTTTCTAAGTTTATAACAATTTGAACAGCACAACAATAATCATTCATTGATTCGAAATGGTAATAAATCATAGACAAATAAATTTACAATTTGTATACGAAGCTGTAAAAACGCTGTTTGTTTTATAACACAAGTTCCCAATCACACACAAAAACAAGATGTGTAAATCGAATGTAAACAAGCGCAGCTATTTCAAAATTGATTATTTTATGGCCCTCCACAAAAAATGTAGAAGGCCTAAAGAAAAATTATTTTAGACTCATTAGAGTGCTCCTCTCCACGGAAATCTTTAGTAAAAGGCGAAAGATTTATTCGACAACTGAAGAGAAGCCAGAGTAATTTCATCACACATCGAGTGGATGTTAAGTATGAATGTGAATAGAACTTAAATGAGAATTATTTTTGGGTGAGAGGGAGCTGCATTGAAATCCATGACATTGAATGTGAGTAAAACAATGTGAAGACATATTAGGGTTGTTGTACAAGATCGTCTTGTTGACTTTGTCATTCGAAGACAATGCATGCAATGAAATGCAACAACACTATGCACAAATATTCCGTTGTCATACCTGAGTACTGTATGTATGCATTGTTTTTGTATCTCGAGTAAAGTAAATGTGTTTACATTTTTATAAATATGCCGTGCACCATGTGTACATTGTGGTAGGTAGGTATTTGAAGAATAACAAATGAATAGTTGATGGTGTGCAATTTGTCAAAGATCACTGCATTTTTATTTGTTTATATTTATTTATTTCTATTCGAAGCGCAGGTTGTTATCAACGGTGCATTGTGTTTAGATGTCTGGCGGTGTACATCTAGTGATTGGAATAACGCTTAAGGTGATAATTTCTGTCATTCTATCATATTTACATACGTTTCAGAATATAAATAAAAAATATAAATACCCAAAATCGGTTCAACAGATGAATCCTAACAGACGTCGCATTTTTAAAGGACCAGAAAATGAAATTGGATCCATAAACATGTCATTCTGCAACCGATACTAAATTTTTCATTTGGTCACATATAGAAGCTATATCTAAATCATTGTAGACCTAGTTCATTACGCTGTCCCAAATTTCGTGCAAATAGAAAGATATATAGGGACTTTGGTGGACCATTTACATTAAATCGGACGAAAATTTATATGTGAGCTATATCTAAATCTGAACCGATTTTCAGGAAACACACATCATTTTATACCTAATTCATTACGCTGTGCCAACATTTCGTGCAAATCGAAGTATATATAGGGAATTTGGTGGACCATTTACATTAAATCGGACGAAAATATATATGGGAGCTATATCTAAATCTGCACCGATTTCCACGAAACTTAACACACATCATTCTAGGCTCAATTCAGTACGCTGTGCCAAATTTCGTGCAAATTGAAAGATATATAGGGATTTTGGTGGAACATTTACATTAAATCGGACGAAAATATATGAGAGCTTTATCTAAATCTGAACCGATTTTCAGGAAACTTAACACACATCATTTTAGACCTAATTCATTACGCTGTACCAAATATCGTTGAAATCGAAAGATATATAGGGACTTTGGCGAACCCTTTACCT